TTGTATGTATAGGTGGGATTTTTTTTCCCCAATGTGCATTACTTTACATTTATCAACATTACATTTCATTTGCCATTTTGTTGCACAATCACCTAGTCTGGCGAAGTATTTTTGAAGCTCTTCACAGTCTGCTTTGGTCTTAACTATCTTGAGCAGTTTGGTATCATCTGCAAATTTTGCATGGAGGTGCTGCATGGGGAGCGTGGGGCCCAAACGGCTGCTTGCGCTGCTTGCTCCCGTGCGGCAGCCCAGCTGAGTGGCACAGGAGTCAGCCGAGCACCACGGCGGGAGTCAACAGCGCTGCCCAGAGGGAACAGCCAGGGGGCAGAGCCTGGACGAGTGTGTGTCTCTGACATCAGGAAAGGGCACTAGATTCAAAAGGAGGAAAGGGGAGTGGACGCGGAGGAGACAAAGAGGAGAACGGAGGAGGTGGAGAGGAGGTGGAGGACAGCGAAATAGAGAGAGAGAGAGACGCAGCAGAAGGAGGAGAAGAGAAACACAGAGTGAGAGGCGGGAGGGGGAGAAGAGAAAAAGAGAGAGACGGAGAGAGAGGCAGGAGGCGGACAAGAGCTGAGAGAGAGAGAGAGAGGGCGAGGCAGTAGGAGGAGAAGAGAGAGAGAGAGATGGAGCGAGAGACCAGAGGCTCAGGAGAGAAGACAGACGCGGAGGAGAGAATCTGAAAATCCTGTGTTATGGCGGGCTAATTGGCTAGTTTTGAAATAACTACTCTCCAGAGTCACTCAGAGTAATTACTCTCCAGTGTTTCTTGGGGCTCTAAGTTGAGGTAGCACATCCACATTAAGGGTGCCTGCCTCAGACTATTTTCAAGGCTTCTCTGTACTGTGCACATGCTATTTTGAAATTATTATTTTGGGAGTTATTATTTTTAAGAAAGTTATTTCGAAATAATTACCTAGTATAAACATGCCCCTCGAGATTAACCAAAATATATAGAATCATGACCTTTTGTGGGCAAAACCCACTTCATCAGATGTGTTGGTGTGGAAAAAACAGAAACCAAGAGATAAATATCGCAGCAGAAGAAGTAGAAGTTCTGGTGTAGATAGCCTGGGTTAATTTTTGAAGAAGTGAAGATCTAATGATGCTGTGTCTGATGTTTCCATAGTCTGGTTAAAGCTTTCTCCTATTTTATTATATCTATCTACCTATCTAATCTCATCTATGAAATTATTTAAGTTGGTTACTAGCCTTGCCTGGTTGACACAAATATTCTTTCTGTTCAATTTCATTCATTGGGTATTCTCTTCATTCTTAAAAGGAGATCCTGGTTAAAAATAATATTAAAATCTACAGACTAACTTCTTTACTCTTTATTAACTGTCAGAGCATTTACATTAACAGAATTCTAAAATATCTAATTAATGTTTCACTGCTTCCACTGTTTGTCTACTTTCATATTTTGAGTCATGCACTAGTTCACTGATACAATGTTGATTTGCAAGCATTGCAAAGAAATTTATCATCCAAATAAAAAACACCACCACTATATTGAAACGAACACACCAGAGTGTATGAATCAGAGCCCTTGACTGGATGGAACCAGAACTGCTTAACTGAGCCAATATAAATTCTCCTTTAAATCAAGTGATAATAGACTTTGCGGGAGGTGGAGCTCTATCCTTTGTCCAAGACTCCCATGGATTTCTTTGAATATTTTATGCCTGTTTTTTACTATAATGAAAATACATCTCTGTAGTCCTCCTATAGAGGACTAAGGAGAATTTTTACACTGGGAGCCTAAAGGGCTTAGCAGTCAATTTCCCAGTAAACATGCACAGCCCTGCACATTGCACCATAAAAATATTTGTGCTGGACCCTTATTTCTCCCCATTCCCATATATTTTGACACCCATCCTGTCCCAAAACTAAGGGACAGTCCTATCACACTAAAACAAACATACAACAACAACTCCACACCACAACAAAACACATGAAGGTAGAGGACCAAAGAAGCTTCTCTAAATTAAAGCTTCTAAATTCAATCTTGGGTGCTTTAATTTATTACTGTCGAAACTTTTTAATCCCATGCTATTGTTTGGTATGGCACGACCTGTTCTTTTAGAACAGGGCTGAGAGCAGCAAGGCCAGTATAGAACATGTAGATACATGTAATACAGTTCATGTTCTCAGATTTATATCTGCTATGAAATACCTTTCAGAGTTGTACAAACATTACCATTAAACCAATCTTTGAGTTGACTTGAGATTGTCAATCTTTACAATAAACAGTAAAACTAGTCATTGGATGTAGATTGCATTAGCTGCTCAATTTTCTATCATGAGAGGAAAATAAAATTATACAAAAATGAAACAATTTAAAGGATCGTCTTCTCTCTTTACACTAGAGTTTATGGCACCTAGTCCTCCAAATATGAAATGATGTCCAGGAATTTAGATTAAAAGGATTGGTTGATCCGAAGGAAAAAATAATGAAGAAATGCATAAGATTCATAGATTCTAACATCAGAAGGGACCATTGTATTAATCAAATCTGACCTCTTGCATAACACATGTAAAGCCAACAGACCATGGTCATGGTCAGGAGGGACTGAACCGGCAAACTTAGGGGTTAAATTTATGTGCTTCTACAGCAGAGGTGGGCAATAAAACAGTTACGGTTAACTAGAATTAGCCCCTGGCAGGCCACTGCTGCTATATTTACCTGTGCTTCCAGAGGTACCAGCAATCGCAGTTCCCATTGGCCATGGATCAGCATTCTCAGCCAATGGGAGCAGCAGGAAGCAGTGCAGACTGGGACACTTCTTTCTGCAGCTCCCATTGGCTGGGGATGGCAATCTGTGGCCAATGGGAGCTGCGATCACCCCATACCTGTGGAAGCACAGGTAAATATAGAGGTGGAGACCCACCAAGGGCTAACCCTGGAGGACCAGATCTGGCCTGTAGGCCAGTTGCCCACCTCAGTTCTACAGCATGAGCTTAAAGTCAACTGGCTGTCAGCTAACACTGTAGAGCAGATTGCACTTTCCCTTGTCAATGATCTCAGTGCTTCCGGGTTACACTTAAGGCATAGGAATTATTTTGGGGAAATTCTAGGGCAGTTCTTTTAGAAAACCATCCAATCTTGATTTTAAAATGGCCAGTGATACTGTATCCACAGTTCCCCTTGGCAAACTGTTCCGAAAGATAATTACTTTGATGGTTAAAATATACATCTTATTTCCAGTCTGAATTTGCTTAGCTTCAACTTACAGCCATTGGACTGTGTTATACCTTCTCTCTGCTAGATTTCAGAGGCCATTTTAAAATATTTGTTCCCCACATAGGTACGTATAGACTGTAATTAAGTTATCTTCACTTTTTTCAGCTAAATATTTGCAGGTCCTCCATTCTGTCACTGTAGGGCACGTTTTCTAATCCTGTAATCCTTCTTGGGGCTCTTTGGTGAACTCTTCACATTTAATAACAGCCTTCTTAAATTGTGAATGTCACGCCAACAGGCAGAACTGAACCTGCGGCATGAGCCGCTACGACTTGAGCTAAAAGCAACCTGGTTCTCAGCAAAGGTTGTAGAGGAAACTCATTCTTTCTCTGCCTAAGTGCAATACATGGGACAGAGAAGCACATGTGGTAGGTGTGTGGGCTGCATACATCCCATAGCTGAGGAAGCCCATCCCAAGATTCAGAGACATCTCAGTTGAAATTCTACACAAGCCCCCACTTGTAATGTCACGAGGTGGAAGTGAACCTGTGACCTCTGGAGCTTAGTGCATGAGCTTCTATAGCTTAAGCAAAAAAGCCAGTTGGCTCTCAGCTAAGGCTGTAGAGGAAACTTATTATTTCACTCTGTAAGTGGTCTAAGTGCCACTGCATGGGACAGTGACCCCCACTCAGCAGGGTGTGGGTTACATGAGCATCAGAACAAGACACAACAGTCCAGCAGCAGTTGCACTTGTACCAAACAAATAGGTAAACTAACTTCTCTTGCCTGTTTAAGGTTCCCCTGTTTAATGTGTCCCAAGATTGCATTAGCTCTTTTGGCCAGAATGGCACACAGAAATCTCGTGCTCAATTAATTATCCGCCACAGCCCCCAAAACTTTTTCAGAGCCACTGCTTCCCAAAAGAGTTGCCCATCCTACGAATATGGCCTACCAGCATTGTTCTGGATGTATACGTTAAAATTTAGCCACATTAAAACACCTGGTCTATGTCTACACTGGTGGGTTCTGGTGGTCCCTCAAAGTGTCCACACTGCCCACCCACTCTTGCACAAGAAGATTTACAGTACCGTGTCGGAAGACAGGGCTTCTTGTGCAAGAGCTATGCTCTTTTCTAACAAGTGTAAGCCCTCTTGCACGAGAGGGCACTGTGGATGTGCGGCAGGGGTTTCTTTCACAAGAAAGCCCTATGGCTAAAATGGCCATCAGAACTTTCTTGCACAAGAGAGCATTCACACTGCCATGGATGCTCTTGTGCAAAAGCACATGGCAGTTTGGACCTGTTCTTGTGCAAGAATTCTTGCACAAAAACCCACCAGTGTAGACATAGCCCTAATGTTTGCTTGCACCCTCTGAATTGGTGACCTGTCCTCTTCATTATTTACCACTCTCTCAATGTTTGTGTCAACTGCAACCTTTATCAGATGATTTTGTTTCCCTCCTAGTTTTGATAAAGCTGTGTATAGTGTAGGGCCGAGAACTGATTCTTGCTGGATGCCACAGACTGACCTACAAGAGGTTAATGTCTCTGAACATGACAATTTGCCAAACAGGAAGTCTGGATACTGAAAGCAGAACAAAGAAATTCGTCTTTCTGCACATCATGCAATTTGCAGATTGAGCCAAAAGGAAAATATGGAACACAGCACATCAGAGGAAGGCTGCGGTACAGTGGGAGAACTTCTATGGGTTTGTGTTACATAAGTTGCTTACATTAGTATTCAACTCCATTTTGCATAGCGCTTTCACACACCCTGTCCCCAGAGGTCTTTACAGGTTAAAATGCACTTTCAAGGCTAAAATAAAACATGAAAGCAGAGAGAGACGGGTTGGATTTGAAAATGCTGCAGACAGAAAGGAGAATGAGGCTCTTGCACCCGCACTGAGGAGTGTGTGTGTGAAGAGAAGAACTTGCTTTCCTTCACCCCACTTAAATCAGGAATAGGCATCGCTTCCTCTGAATCTGCAGCCACCTCGGGGGCTAAAGGAGAACCATTTCCTTCTCCACATCCTGCCCACCAACTCAAAGGAAAGTAATTCTGTGTCCATTCCTAATTAGTTTAGGGGAAAACATCTTCACGAGCATTCCAACTTGCTCAAGGGAAGGAATCCAATGTCCATTCACTCAGAAGCATCATCACAAACTGCTCAGGGAAAATACTTGATCCGAGGTAAGAGATCTGCACATGCACCACTATCTGCTTCAGACACCTCTCTCTGGCTTGTCGTAGCTCAGATCTTTTTGATTCTGTCCTCTCAGAGGAGAAACTGAAATAGACTGATACCCTCCACAAACACTTTAGCAGCAGCTATGTACTGAGTCACAGGTTTTCCCAGGTACCATAAAAAATGACAGAACCATCCTTGAAGCTGGAATATTTTGTGGAATGGATGGAGGTGTTTGGTCAATACTAAGATGCCATCCAAGGTGAGTGGTAAGATATGGAGGAAAACCCCGAGTGGTTGAAAAAAGGGAGCGATGAGGAGTGAAACTTGGATAGACTGGCAGGAGCAGTAGAGTTTGTAAAAATAAATGAGGGCAGAGTTAGGAAATCATTATATTATTCATATAATTGAGAGGTAGGAACTCCAGACCTTTGATTCTAGCTCTGCTTCTGAGTCACTGGGAGATCTGGAGCAAGTTATTTAAGCTCTCTTGAGTTTTAAAAATTTCCCCGACTCCAAAATGGGGACAAAAAGTCTTAACCTCTCCCTCCCTCTGTTGATTAGATTGTTCAAATTTTGTCTCATGCTTTGCAGGTGTAACACATTATTTAGTTAATAATAGATAACATTAACTTATAATGACCATGTTGTTATGTAAAAGCATTAGCAATGTGTTGAATAATTTCTTTTTTTTTGCAGGCATCTAAAGTGTAACTGACAGAATGACAGCCACTGTGTCAGAAAAGAGCCCTGAGGATCAATCTAAAAGAATATGCTGCAAGAATCCATTTCTGAATATCAAGGTAAATACTCAAGCATGCTATAATTCCCTCCCCCACTCCCTCCCCAGGAGAGAAAAGGAAGTGTTTGGTTTCTGCAGAAGTCATCTCTGTTTATTTCTTTTTATTAAATGATTGTTAAAGCTCAGATGTGGTTCTCCCTACTTGCAGAAGTTCAACGAGACAAAAAGTACCTTTACTCTAAAAAGCGAAGCCTGCAAAAATAATGTTATAGAACAAGTTTTACTTACCATGGTTGCAGTATTTAAATTCCCACAATTAAATGCTTGGTGACCACAACTGGAGCCAGATTTTCAAAAGAATTTCGCTCCCATTTAGTCAGGGGGGCTGACAGACTCACTGGGCCCCTGGACAAGATGAGGGGAGGACAACCTCTTCCAGGTAAGATGCAAGGGGCAGCTCCATGTCTCTGGAAAGGGTAAGGCCTCAGTCAGAAGGGCAAGCTAGGGCTACCCTGTTCCAGTCAGCTTTCAGTGCTGCCTGGAGTATACCATGTTGGGCTCTGGTGGCGATTTAAAGGGCCTGGGGTTGAAAAGGGGCAGCTGGGAACTCTGGGCTCTTTTGAATCACCAGCTCCCCGTGCATTTGCCCCATTTACTTCCCCTGCCATCATCAGACCTGCATTTAGGCAACTATCTATAGGCCAGATTTTCAAAAGTGCTCAGCTCCCAAAATTCAGCTTCTTTTTCTTATCATATCACAAGAGTGAGCAAAGTATTATGAGCCATTTTCATTGAAAAGAGATAGCTTTGTGTTCGGAAAAGAAGGGAAGGACTCTGGATTCCCTGCTCCGTTTTCTGTCATCTGCCAAATCGCTGGGCAAGTTGGGGCAAGTCATTGAGACCCCAATTCTGCAGAGATTTATGTGTGCGCTTAATT